GTTAATGTTTAGATTGTCTCTAGTGGTTATGGTGCCCTCATGTAAGTGGTCAAACCATTTTATTATGGAGCCGCTCCCCGTCTCCACTACTTCAGCCAGAGTGCCAGAATCTCTCTGAGCTAAGCCGGGCTTCTGTTGTAGATCCTGGCTCTCCAATTAAACAAGACACGAATAATCTACTTACAATGAAGAGACGTCAATGCACTCCTGGCACCATAAACAATACATCACTTTATAATCCACATTAACCTGCTGTTTAGATAATGTAAATCTAGCTTTCTACCCAGATCCTTCATAAATACAATTAGATTCTTTGTTAGTTTAGTCGTTTTACATTTTATGCAAACTTCATGAAAGGTAATCTCTTTCAACACCAGTCATTCCTCCTCTGCTTCCTATTTTGCTACATTATTGGGTGGGTTGGTTGGTAGGTGGTTATGGGGTGTGTTTAGCTTGCTTATTGTGCTGGATGGAAGGTGGAATTGGAGGGTGTTTGGCTAGGATATTGCACTGGTTGGTAGGTGTCAATGAGGTATGTTTAGCTAGGCTATTTTGCTGGTTGGAAGGTGCGTATAGGGGGGTATGTTTGGCAAGGATATTGTGCTTGTTGGTAGTTAAATGTGAGTTATGTCTAGCTAAGATGTGCTGGTTGGAAAGTAATCTAGGTAATTGCACCGGTTGGAAGATGGGTTTGCAGTTTGATTTGGGGTTTGGCTGGTAGATTGCATTAGTTGGTACGCGGCTTTTGTGTCTGTTTGATTTGGCTGTTTTGCTAGTTGGAAGGTAGGTTTGGGGCATGTTTAGCTAGGATATTGTGCTGGTTGGGAGGTGGCAATGAGGTATTTTTGGCTAGGTTAGTGTGCTGGTTGGTAGGTGGCTGTGAGTTATGTTTAGCTAGGTTACTGTGCTGGTTGGGAGGTGGCTGTAAGGTATGTTTGGCCGGGTTAGTGTGCTGGTTGGTAGGTGGCTGTGAGGTATGTTTGGCTAGGTTAGTGTGCTGGTTGGTAGGTGGCAATGAGGCATGTTTTGCTAGGTTAGTGTGCTGGTTGGTAGGTGGCTGTGAGGTATGTTTGGCTAGGTTAGTGTGCTGGTTGGGAGGTGGCTGTGAGATATGTTTAGCTAGGATATTGTGCTGGTTGGGAGGTGGCAATGAGGTATGTTTGGCTAGGTTAGTGTGCTGGTTGGTAGGTGGCTGTGAGTTATGTTTAGCTAGGTTACTGTGCTGGTTGGGAGGTGGCTGTAAGGTATGTTTGGCCGGGTTAGTGTGCTGGTTGGTAGGTGGCTGTGAGGTATGTTTGGCTAGGTTAGTGTGCTGGTTGGTAGGTGGCAATGAGGCATGTTTTGCTAGGTTAGTGTGCTGGTTGGTAGGTGGCTGTGAGGTATGTTTGGCTAGGTTAGTGTGCTGGTTGGGAGGTGGCTGTGAGATATGTTTAGCTAGGTTATTGTGCTGGTTGGGAGGTGGCAATGAGGTATGTTTGGCTAGGTTGGTAGGTGGCTGTGAGGTATGTTTAGCTAGGTTAGTGTGCTGGTTGGTAGGTGGCTGTGAGGTATGTTTGGCTAGGTTAGTGTGCTGGTTGGTAGGTGGCTGTGAGGTATGTTTGGCTGGGTTAGTGTGCTGGTTGGTAGGTGGCTGTGAGGTAAGTTTGGCTAGGTTAGTGTGCTGGTTGGTAGGTGGCTGTGAGTTATGTTTAGCTAGGTTACTGTGCTGGTTGGGAGGTGGCTGTAAGGTAATGGTAGGTGGCTGTGAGGTATGTTTGGCTAGGTTAGTGTGCTGGTTGGTAGGTGGCTGAGGCATGTTTGGCTAGTTATGTTTAGCTAGGTTACTGTGCTGGTTGGGAGGTGGCGTAAGGTATGTTTGGCCGGGTTAGTGTGCTGGTTGGTAGGTGGCTGTGAGGTATGTTTGGCTAGGTTAGTGTGCTGGTTGGTAGGTGGCAATGAGGCATGTTTTGCTAGGTTAGTGTGCTGGTTGGTAGGTGGCTGTGAGGTATGTTTGGCTAGGTTAGTGTGCTGGTTGGGAGGTGGCTGTGAGATATGTTTAGCTAGGTTATTGTGCTGGTTGGGAGGTGGCAATGAGGTATGTTTGGCTAGGTTAGTGTGCTGGTTGGTAGGTGGCTGTGAGTTATGTTTAGCTATACTGTGCTGGTTTGGCTGTGGCAAGGTGGCTGTGAGGTATGTTTGGCTAGGTTAGTGTGCTGGTTGGTAGGTGGCAGTGAGGCATGTTTTGCTAGGTTAGTGTGCTGGTTGGTAGGTGGCTGTGCTAGGTTAGTTGTGGCTAGTTTAGTGTGCTGGTGGCTGGTTGGTAGGTGGCTGTAAGGTATGTTTAGCTAGGTTAGTGTGCTGGTTGGTAGGTGGCTGTGAGGTATGTTTGGCTAGGTTAGTGTGCTGGTTGGTAGGTGGCTGGCAGGTATGAGGTATGTTTGGCTAGGTTAGTGTGCTGGTTGGTAGGTGGCTGTGAGTTATGTTTAGCTAGGTTACTGTGCTGGTTGGGAGGTGGCTGTAAGGTATGTTTGGCCGGGTTAGTGTGCTGGTTGGTAGGTGGCTGTGAGGTATGTTTGGCTAGGTTAGTGTGCTGGTTGGTAGGTGGCAATGAGGCATGTTTTGCTAGGTTAGTGTGCTGGTTGGTAGGTGGCTGTGAGGTATGTTTGGCTAGGTTAGTGTGCTGGTTGGGAGGTGGCTGTGAGATATGTTTAGCTAGGATATTGTGCTGGTTGGGAGGTGGCAATGAGGTATGTTTGGCTAGGTTGGTAGGTGGCTGTGAGGTATGTTTAGCTAGGTTAGTGTGCTGGTTGGTAGGTGGCTGTGAGGTATGTTTGGCTAGGTTAGTGTGCTGGTTGGTAGGTGTGTGCTGGGTTAGGAGGTATGTTTGGCTAGGTTAGTGTGCTGGTTGGTAGGTGGCTGTGAGGTATGTTTGGCTAGGTTAGTGTGCTGGCTGGTAGGTGGCTGTGAGGTATGTTTGGCTAGGTTAGTGTGCTGGTTGGGAGGTGGCTGTGAGATATGTTTAGCTAGGATATTGTGCTGGTTGGGAGGTGGCAATGAGGTATGTTTGGCTAGGTTAGTGTGCTGGTTGGTAGGTGGCTGTGAGTTATGTTTAGCTAGGTTACTGTGCTGGTTGGGAGGTGGCTGTGAGGTATGTTTGGCTAGGATATTGTGCTGGTTGGTAGGTGGCAATGAGGCATGTTTTGCTAGGTTAGTGTGCTGGTTGGTAGGTGGCTGTGAGGTATGTTTGGCTAGGTTAGTGTGCTGGTTGGGAGGTGGCTGTGAGGTATGTTTAGCTAGGATATTGTGCTGGTTGGGAGGTGGCAATGAGGTATGTTTGGCTAGGTTAGTGTGCTGGTTGGTAGGTGGCTGTGAGTTATGTTTAGCTAGGTTACTGTGCTGGTTGGGAGGTGGCTGTAAGGTATGTTTGGCCGGGTTAGTGTGCTGGCTAGGTTAGTGTGCTGGTTGGTAGGTGGCTGTGAGGTATGTTTGGCTAGGTTAGTTTGCTGGTTGGTAGGTGGCTGTGAGGTATGTTTGGCTAGGTTAGTGTGCTGGTTGGTAGGTGGCTGTGAGGTATGTTTAGCTAGGTTAGTGTGCTGGTTGAGAGATGGCTGTGAGGTATGTTTAGCTAGGTTAGTGTGCTGGTTGGTAGGTGGCTGTGAGGTATGTTTGGCTAGGTTAGTGTGCTGGTTGCTAGGTGGCTGTGAGGTATGTTTGGCTAGGTTAGTGTGCTGGTTGGTAGGTGGCTGTGAGGTATGTTTGGCTAGGTTAGTGTGCTGGTTGGTAGGTGGCTGTGAGGTATGTTTGGCTAGGTTAGTTTGCTGGTTGGTAGGTGGCTGTGAGGTATGTTTGGCTAGGTTAGTTTGCTGGTTGGTAGGTGGCTGTGAGGTATGTTTGGCTAGGTTAGTTTGCTGGTTGGTAGGTGGCTGTGAGGTATGTTTGGCTAGGTTAGTGTGCTGGTTGGTAGGTGGCTGTGAGGTATGTTTAGCTAGGTTAGGTAGGTGGCTTTAGCTAGGTTAGTGTGCTGGTTGGTAGGTGGCTGTGAGGTATGTTTGGCTAGGTTAGTGTGCTGGTTGCTAGGTGGCTGTGAGGTATGTTTGGCTAGGTTAGTGTGCTGGTTGGTAGGTGGCTGTGAGGTATGTTTGGCTAGGTTAGTTTGCTGGTTGGTAGGTGGCTGTGAGGTATGTTTGGCTAGGTTAGTTTGCTGGTTGGTAGGTGGCTGTGAGGTATGTTTGGCTAGGTTAGTGTGCTGGTTGGTAGGTGGCTGTGAGGTATGTTTGGCTAGGTTAGTTTGCTGGTTGGTAGGTGGCTGTGTGAGGGTATGTTTAAGCTGAGTTGGTGTGCTGGTTTGAGCGGTGGCTGAGAGGGTATGTTTAGCTAGGTTAGTGTGCTGGTTGGTAGGTGGCTGTGAGGTATGTTTGGCTAGGTTAGTGTGCTGGTTGCTAGGTGGCTGTGAGGTATGTTTGGCTAGGTTACTGTGCTGGTTGGTAGGTGGCTGTGAGGTATGTTTGGCTAGGTTAGTTTGCTGGTTGGTAGGTGGCTGTGAGGTAGTTTGGCTAGGTTAGTGTGCTGGTTGGTAGGTGGCTGTGAGGTATGTTTGGCTAGGTTAGTTTGCTGGTTGGTAGGTGGCTGTGAGGTATGTTTGGCTAGGTTAGTTTGCTGGTTGGTAGGTGGCTGTGAGGTATGTTTGGCTAGGTTAGTGTGCTGGTTGGTAGGTGGCTGTGAGGTATGTTTAGCTAGGTTAGGTGGCTGTGAGGTATGTTTGGCTAGGTTAGTGTGCTGGTTGGTAGGTGGCCGTGAGGTATGTTTAGCTAGGTTAGTGTGCTGGTTGGTAGGTGGCTGTGAGGTATGTTTAGCTAGGTTAGTGTGCTGGTTGGTAGGTGGCTGTGAGGTATGTTTGGCTAGTTAGTTTGCTGGTTGGTAGGTGGCTGTGAGGTATGTTTGGCTAGGTTAGTGTGCTGGTTGGTAGGTGGCTGTGAGGTATGTTTGGCTAGGTTAGTTTGCTGGTTGGTAGGTGGCTGTGAGGTATGTTTGGCTAGGTTAGTTTGCTGGTTGGTAGGTGGCTGTGAGGTATGTTTGGCTAGGTTAGTTTGCTGGTTGGTAGGTGGCTGTGAGGTATGTTTGGCTAGGTTAGTGTGCTGGTTGGTAGGTGGCCGTGAGGTATGTTTAGCTAGGTTAGTGTGCTGGTTGGTAGGTGGCTGTGAGGTATGTTTAGCTAGGTTAGTGTGCTGGTTGGTAGGTGGCTGTGAGGTATGTTTAGCTAGGTTAGTGTGCTGGTTGGTAGGTGGCCGTGAGGTATGTTTGGCTAGGTTAGTGTGCTGGTTGGTAGGTGGCTGTGAGGTATGTTTGGCTAGGTTAGTGTGCTGGTTGGTAGGTGGCTGTGAGGTATGTTTGGCTGGGTTAGTGTGCTGGTTGGGAGGTGGCTGTGAGGTATGTTTGGCTAGGTTAGTGTGCTGGTTGGTAGGTGGCTGTGAGGTATGTTTGGCTAGGTTAGTTGGTAGGTGGCTGTGGTATGTTTAGCTAGGTGTGCTGGCTGAGGTATGTTTGGCTAGGTTAGTGTGCTGGTTGGTAGGTGGCTGTGAGGTATGTTTGGCTAGGTTAGTGTGCTGGTTGGTAGGTGGCTGTGAGGCATGTTTGGCTAGGTTAGTGTGCTGGTTGGTAGGTGGCTGTGAGGTATGTTTGGCTAGGTTAGTGTGCTGGTTGGTAGGTGGCTGTGGTATGTTTAGCTAGGTTAGTGTGCTGGTTGGGAGGTGGCTGTGAGGTATGTTTGGCTAGGTTAGTGTGCTGGTTGGTAGGTGGCTGTGAGGTATGTTTAGCTAGGTTAGTGTGCTGGTTGGTAGGTGGCTGTGAGGTATGTTTAGCTAGGTTAGTGTGCTGGTTGGTAGGTGGCTGTGAGGTATGTTTGGCTAGGTTAGTGTGCTGGTTGGTAGGTGGCTGTGAGGTATGTTTGGCTAGGTTAGTGTGCTGGTTGGTAGGTGGCTGTGAGGTATGTTTGGCTAGGTTAGTTTGCTGGTTGGTAGGTGGCTGTGAGGTATGTTTGGCTAGGTTAGTTTGCTGGTTGGTAGGTGGCTGTGAGGTATGTTTGGCTAGGTTAGTGTGCTGGTTGGTAGGTGGCTGTGAGGTATGTTTGGCTAGGTTAGTGTGCTGGTTGGTAGGTGGCTGTGAGGTATGTTTGGCTAGGTTAGTGTGCTGGTTGGTAGGTGGCTGTGAGGTATGTTTGGCTAGGTTAGTGTGCTGGTTGGTAGGTGGCTGTGAGGTATGTTTGGCTAGGTTAGTGTGCTGGTTGGTAGGTGGCCGTGAGGTATGTTTAGCTAGGTTAGTGTGCTGGTTGGTAGGTGGCCGTGAGGTATGTTTAGCTAGGTTAGTGTGCTGGTTGGTAGGTGGCCGTGAGGTATGTTTGGCTAGGTTAGTGTGCTGGTTGGTAGGTGGCTGTGAGGTATGTTTGGCTAGGTTAGTGTGCTGGTTGGTAGGTGGCTGTGAGGTATGTTTGGCTAGGTTAGTGTGCTGGTTGGTAGGTGGCTGTGAGGTATGTTTAGCTAGGTTAGTGTGCTGGTTGGTAGGTGGCTGTGAGGTATGTTTGGCTAGGTTAGTGTGCTGGTTGGTAGGTGGCTGTGAGGTATGTTTGGCTAGGTTAGTGTGCTGGTTGGTAGGTGGCTGTGAGGTATGTTTGGCTAGGTTAGTGTGCTGGTTGGTAGGTGGCCGTGAGGTATGTTTAGCTAGGTTAGTGTGCTGGTTGGTAGGTGGCTGTGAGGTATGTTTAGCTAGGTTAGTGTGCTGGTTGGTAGGTGGCCGTGAGGTATGTTTGGCTAGGTTAGTGTG